TGTGTGTGTGTGTTACTTTCTTCACTCAGTAACATCTGCATTTGATATATTTCTGAAGAACTGGAAAACTAGGGCATTACATATTTTGTCTCTTTTGTCTCCAAACTTAATTCTATTCTACTGTCCTATAGGCTCTAAAGGAAATTTCCACTGGCAACCTGTTCTCTCGTGTGTGGTGGTTCAGCCCATTCCAGTACTTTGAGAGTAACGTCCGTGGCATTGTGCCTCGAAACTACCAGCTGCCGTTCTTGTGGCAAACAATGACGAGTGCCCGGGTTAAGTACAGTAAGCTGGACTCCCGTGAGTCATGACCCATGGCTCCTGATTGACTGGAGCTCTGTGAGACTCTAAAAGAGAAACTACTCTTCCCATCATGCCCTGCAAAACTGGTTGAGCACTGTGACGCATATACACTGATCATTTTGTAGTATTTGAAGCATTTCAATGTCCGTAGCAGGTATGTATATGTAGAGCAGAGCATCTAACAACTGGATTTGATTTGCTGCTCTTTATAATAGTTAAAAATGGCCAGGCCTTTGTCTGACTGAGCACTAAGCCTTTTTGCTGTCTTCTTGATGGACTTGGTCTGGCAGAATATGTCATTTTTGGTTCATTTACCTGCCAAAACTGTATTGAATAAACTGGAACCCTTATAGAAACAGATTTTCTTTTTAAAAAAGCATCTTTTTGTAATAATTTTGTCCTTCTGGAGTAAGATTGTTTCTAAATATTTTGCAGGTTTATTTTCCAAAAAAAGTGTCATCCAAATAGAGTATCTTTTTTAGATTTGTACCTTCCTGAAAGCTGGAACCCCTGCAGCTTCAGTGTTTTATAGTGCCTTTCTTCCATACACAGATATATATTTCATCATACAGTACATACACATGTAATATACACACACATCAATACATCCACAATGTAGTACATGCTTTAAACATTTACATAATGTGTTAACCCGCAATGTTGTCTACCTGACTGTCTAAATGTCTTGTTTAGCCTGTAATCATTAAGAGAGGCAGTATGTTTTTGTAGAAGCTTTGAATGTGGGAGCTCAGTTCTGCCTTTCACATTGCAGCAAACCTTCAAATCAAACCCTGAGCACACACACACTTCCTAGTTTCTTAAATTGGATAATTATGTTCAATTATTCATTACTGGAGATTTACTTTTTCTTTTCAGTATCATCCATTGGTCTAGCAAACAGAATGCAGATGAATGAAGAAATACAGGAGGGACTAGTTTTGAAGTTTTTTGATCAGAATATAGTGTTCATTTGACAAAACACTGCTCAAATTTTAGCATGACTAAAGGGCTGTTCATACAGGATGTGTTTTTGCTTTCAAAAAAGGTATACGTAGTGGAATAAAATGAAATGTTTTAATAGTTTAACTGTTTTTGACATAAAACGCAGTGATTGTGGTCAAATATGTCTGTTTAGTGTGTTTACATAGCAAAACAACTAAAAGAGGTGCAGAAGTATACCAGAGCACATCTTGTGTGAATGGCCTCAGCATGTGTTTTGTTAACTAATTGAATGCACCAAAGTTTTAAATGTGAGATTAGCTCAGTCTCTTACTGCAGAATTATTTTCATAGACCAGGGGTGCCCAAACTCGGTCCTGGAGGGCCGGTGTCCTGCAGAGTTTAACTCCAACCCCAATTAAACACACCTGAACCAGCTAATCAAGCTCTTATAGGCATACTAGAAACTTACCAGCAGGTGTGTTTAGGCAAGTTGTAGCTAAACTCTGCAGGACACCGGCCCTCCAGGACTGAGTTTGGGCAGCCCTGTCATAGACAATCCAAGCTAGGCTTTGGACACCATCTTGATATTAAGGAAAGTCAGATTGTGTTCTTTGACAGAAAAGACTTACTCATACAGACTGAATGTTTACAATATCACACATGAAACTAATTATATAAGTGTGTGTAGATTGGGTAATCTGTACATTAAAGAACATGTATTATTGAAGCCTTTTTGCTGTCTTCTTGATGGACTTGGTCTGGCAGAATATGTCATTTTTGGTTCATTTACCTGCCAAAACTGTATTGAATAAACTGGAACCCTTATAGAAACAGATTTTCTTTTTAAAAAAGCATCTTTTTGTAATAATTTTGTCCTTCTGGAGTAAGATTGTTTCTAAATATTTTGCAGGTTTATTTTCCAAAAAAAGTGTCATCCAAATAGAGTATCTTTTTTAGATTTGTACCTTCCTGAAAGCTGGAACCCCTGCAGCTTCAGTGTTTTATAGTGCCTTTCTTCCATACACAGATATATATTTCATCATACAGTACATACACATGTAATATACACACACATCAATACATCCACAATGTAGTACATGCTTTAAACATTTACATAATGTGTTAACCCGCAATGTTGTCTACCTGACTGTCTAAATGTCTTGTTTAGCCTGTAATCATTAAGAGAGGCAGTATGTTTTTGTAGAAGCTTTGAATGTGGGAGCTCAGTTCTGCCTTTCACATTGCAGCAAACCTTCAAATCAAACCCTGAGCACACACACACTTCCTAGTTTCTTAAATTGGATAATTATGTTCAATTATTCATTACTGGAGATTTACTTTTTCTTTTCAGTATCATCCATTGGTCTAGCAAACAGAATGCAGATGAATGAAGAAATACAGGAGGGACTAGTTTTGAAGTTTTTTGATCAGAATATAGTGTTCATTTGACAAAACACTGCTCAAATTTTAGCATGACTAAAGGGCTGTTCATACAGGATGTGTTTTTGCTTTCAAAAAAGGTATACGTAGTGGAATAAAATGAAATGTTTTAATAGTTTAACTGTTTTTGACATAAAACGCAGTGATTGTGGTCAAATATGTCTGTTTAGTGTGTTTACATAGCAAAACAACTAAAAGAGGTGCAGAAGTATACCAGAGCACATCTTGTGTGAATGGCCTCAGCATGTGTTTTGTTAACTAATTGAATGCACCAAAGTTTTAAATGTGAGATTAGCTCAGTCTCTTACTGCAGAATTATTTTCATAGACCAGGGGTGCCCAAACTCGGTCCTGGAGGGCCGGTGTCCTGCAGAGTTTAACTCCAACCCCAATTAAACACACCTGAACCAGCTAATCAAGCTCTTATAGGCATACTAGAAACTTACCAGCAGGTGTGTTTAGGCTAGTTTTAGCTAAACTCTGCAGGACACCGGCCCTCCAGGACAGAGTTTGGGCACCCCTGTCATAGACAATCCAAGCTAGGCTTTGGACACCATTTTGATTTAAGGAAAGTCAGATTGTGTTCTTTGACAGAAAAGACTTACTCATACAGACTGAATGTTTACAATATCACACATGAAACTAATTATATAAGTGTGTGTAGATTGGGTAATCTGTACATTAAAGAACATGTATTATTGTTGTATACTGTACAACATTACATGTTAATCTATTAAAGGAAATTATTCCTATTTGTGTAGATTTAAACTATAGAAGTTTGGTAAAAGAAGGTATTTGAGGGCTTCTTCTTTAATGTGAAGTGTGTCTGCTCAAAATGTGCTTTTGCTAGCCAAAGGGAATCATGAAGTCTCTTGATAAATAGCCAGAAGTGTTGTAAATGTTCTGGAGCAAGAACCAAATAGAAACTGGTGGTATTTGTGACAGGTAGACTGAATGATGAGGTGAGACAGGCCTGTAAAACGACTGAATGAGTCTCTGAAGTGTGAATGTACATTCAGTGACTATACACAGTTTAGAACTGGAAGGAAAATCAGAAGCACTTTAAAACGATGCCCAGCCACACACTTTTCCTACACGCTGCACTTCAGTGACCTGCATGCTAATAAACCTGCAGGGTAAAAACACTGTTTTTGTAGAAGCTTTGAATGTGGGAGCTCAGTTCTGCCTTTCACATTGCAGCAAACCTTCAAATCAAACCCTGAGCACACACACACTTCCTAGTTTCTTAAATTGGATAATTATGTTCAATTATTCATTACTGGAGATTTACTTTTTCTTTTCAGTATCATCCATTGGTCTAGCAAACAGAATGCAGATGAATGAAGAAATACAGGAGGGACTAGTTTTGAAGTTTTTTGATCAGAATATAGTGTTCATTTGACAAAACACTGCTCAAATTTTAGCATGACTAAAGGGCTGTTCATACAGGATGTGTTTTTGCTTTCAAAAAAGGTATACGTAGTGGAATAAAATGAAATGTTTTAATAGTTTAACTGTTTTTGACATAAAACGCAGTGATTGTGGTCAAATATGTCTGTTTAGTGTGTTTACATAGCAAAACAACTAAAAGAGGTGCAGAAGTATACCAGAGCACATCTTGTGTGAATGGCCTCAGCATGTGTTTTGTTAACTAATTGAATGCACCAAAGTTTTAAATGTGAGATTAGCTCAGTCTCTTACTGCAGAATTATTTTCATAGACCAGGGGTGCCCAAACTCGGTCCTGGAGGGCCGGTGTCCTGCAGAGTTTAACTCCAACCCCAATTAAACACACCTGAACCAGCTAATCAAGCTCTTATAGGCATACTAGAAACTTACCAGCAGGTGTGTTTAGGCAAGTTGTAGCTAAACTCTGCAGGACACCGGCCCTCCAGGACAGAGTTTGGGCACCCCTGTCATAGACAATCCAAGCTAGGCTTTGGACACCATTTTGATTTAAGGAAAGTCAGATTGTGTTCTTTGACAGAAAAGACTTACTCATACAGACTGAATGTTTACAATATCACACATGAAACTAATTATATAAGTGTGTGTAGATTGGGTAATCTGTACATTAAAGAACATGTATTATTGATGTATACTGTACAACATTACATGTTAATCTATTAAAGGAAATTATTCCTATTTGTGTAGATTTAAACTATAGAAGTTTGGTAAAAGAAGGTATTTGAGGGCTTCTTCTTTAATGTGAAGTGTGTCTGCTCAAAATGTGCTTTTGCTAGCCAAAGGGAATCATGAAGTCTCTTGATAAATAGCCAGAAGTGTTGTAAATGTTCTGGAGCAAGAACCAAATAGAAACTGGTGGTATTTGTGACCGGTAGACTGAATGATGAGGTGAGACAGGCCTGTAAAACGACTGAATGAGTCTCTGAAGTGTGAATGTACATTCAGTGACTATACACAGTTTAGAACTGGAAGGAAAATCAGAAGCACTTTAAAACGATGCCCAGCCACACACTTTTCCTACACGCTGCACTTCAGTGACCTGCATGCTAATAAACCTGCAGGGTAAAAACACTATTTTATTATTCCCCCAAGTTACAGCCTGATTGATGATGGTTTTACGATTTGTCTTTCATATGAAACTGACAGTGGATCAGACCTGTGAATGTGCGACACCATGTACCATTTAGTGTAGATATGAATGGCTGCAATGTGCCACAGATTTTTGTTGTTTCTTTTTTTTTTCTTTTTTTTTGAGACCACGGAAAAGTCATGAAAACTAGTTTGGGTTATAAAAGATTTTAAATTCTAAATATAAAGTGTTTGTTAATTTAATTGGGAAATCCAGATTGTTAAGCTGTTAATTTAGCTTTGTGTTACACTGCCAACTGATTGACTTGATAAGTGAACAGAGTGTTGGTTTTGGATATGATGACTGTAAATGTATGTTGTTGTTTTGTTTCATTTTCATTGTCAATCATAAATCCAACATTGTCAAATTACTTTGTTGTCTCATGTAAACCAGGTTATTTGTGCTAAACAATCTCTTAATATGAGACAAAGAGTGGGGCAGATATTGAATAAAACATTTTAATATTCTAAATTGTTGTCTAAATTGCCATTATTTTCCTGTTACTTTCCTCCAAGAATCAATTAGATGACTGCTGTTCTTCATCAGCTCTTATTTCAGATACTAGTATTTTAAATAATACTGCCTGACAATGACTTTTTAGATCTAGATGGTTAGTATAGCATCACTCATGCTGAGAGTATATTGAGCAGAAGTTGACTATTCCACAATATCAAGTACAGTGTATTTGAAATATTCATAAAGTAAGCCGTAGTCAAACACATTTTTTATCATATTTGTCACCTTGTTGTCTTGCAGCCAGATTTACTAACAGCTTGTGCCAAGCCCAAAACTACCATCAATATTTACTTAAGACGTGCAATGAAAAGACGGACAGTTATTTTTGTGGCTGACGTTATCGCATATGCATTTGTCAGTTTCCCTTTCAGGCACAAAATTAATGGGAGAGATTTAAATGAGTCATGCATGGTGATTTACTAAGGGTTGTGGTAGTCCGTTTATTGGTATTTGTGCCATTATATATATATATATATATATATATATATATATACATATATATATATATATATATATATATGTGTGTCAAATATAGCCTATAAATATATAAAGTCAATTTTATCATAATTGACTTGTTAATGTTGTAATTTTAACTTTTCTGTAATAATTTCACATTTTGATCTTATAATTTTGACTTTTTATTTCATCATTATAATTTTTTATCTCATTTTGATTTGGTGAAACAGTTTTCACCTGTTAACCTATAGTTTTTGCTAGTAAATTTTACAAATAACAGTCAAGTAACACTTAAGCATGAAATCTTGAAGTAGAGAAACTGAAAAAGTATTTTCTTGTAAAACATACTCCAGCTGTCATGATCTCGGTGGGATCTGCCTAGGTTTTGTTGTCCTGTGTTTGTCCTGTAGCACGTGGCCTTTTGTTTTGACGGCGCGCCATGTGCTCCGCTGTCATCGTGGTGTACACCCCGCCCCTCTTGTTATCCCTGTTGGCTAATTCTCCCTCCTCACCTGCACCCTGTTTTGTCCTCATTCTCTTCCCATTATCATGCCCTCGTGTTTGCTGTCTTGTGTCAGTCCGTTATGCGTTGTTCTGAAGCTCAGATCGTCTTGGTGCCTGTTGTGTTTTCTGACCCCGTCTTGTTTTGTTTAGTTTTCTAGTCTAGTCGGTCTGGCGTTCCTGTTTATGTCAACCTTCCCTTTTTACCCGCCTGCCCCTCTAGGCTCTCTGCCCGTATGCTTGTCTCTTCACGGCAGCCCCTCCCGATTCCTCTCTGCTCACACTCGGCGCTTCCTCTGGAATTCAGCGGCGGCTTTCAATTGCCGGCTCGCCGCCTCTCTGCCTCTCTTCCCCGCTGGCTCAGCAGAGGCTGGTCTGACCTTCTGGCTGTTCAAGCTGACTATTTGCTGACGGTTTTGTTATCGGCTGATTTATTGACGGAGCATTTTCTGTTATCACAGTTTTCAATAAACTTTGAATTGTTTCTCGTGCTGTTGGATCCCGGTCTCGTTTCTGACACCAACAATCTTTTTTTATTTTTATCTTTTATTCTTTTTCTGTGTTTTCATCACATAATTTTGACTTTGATGTCATAAAAAGATCAGCATATGAGGTTTCATATTATTACTTTTGAATAATATGTAAATAATTTAGTCCGTTCAGACAGCTGGTGAAAATAGCATGTCTTACAGCCCAACAGTAAATGTATAGATTGCTGTGATGTTCAAATGAAAGAAATGGTAGTTTGGTTAAACATGCTCAAGCTTTATTTTTTCATTTTTTGCCCAATTAAAAGCAATGCCACGTCCCAAAGATATACAGACATTTTTGCAATGAGGCTAGCAAAGATATTAAACAAGCACACAAGGGTTAGGAGATGTGTAGATGGTCCCAGTGTGTTCACCTGTGATGGTCAACACTCCAACACAAGTATAGGGCATTGGTCTCAGACTGAGGAATCTCATTGCTTACATGGGGTTACAAGACTAACAAAATTACATTATGATTTTCCATGATGGCCGTGAAGAAGCTGCACCTGTCCAGTAGCTGATCTGGAATCTGGGTGGCAAATACTATGGCTTTCTGCATAAATATGTACTCATTTGGAACATTAACCAGACAATGGAGCTGTCAATGCTTCTGACTGTCTGTACAGCATTCCAAAGCCATGTATATATACAAAGATACAGCATTGTTTTCTTTATATGGGTTGTGTAGTCTTCTGTCACACTACTTCTGTTTTAAGATCCAGTTTGATGTGAAGTGAAAGTGAGAGCAGAAGTGTCCTGACATAGATAGTCATGATATGTGTATAGTCTTGCAGGCTGAATGATTTCAATCAGACTTTAGGTCATTTCCCCTCATGCACATCACTGCGAGTTAATAAGCTATAAGTGACCCATCAAGTGCATCTTTAACATCCGGTGGAGTTTTTGTACAACCCTGCTGGGCGAAACACTGAAGATGCACAAGAGTCAAATGTATTAGATAAGTGCATGGCAGCATGGTTATTAATAATTCAAACATGTAAAGATAGCAAAAGGCCACACCTAAAATGCACAGGCACTAAAATACTGTAGCAGTCATGACCAGCATCTCACAGCTAACAAAGTCATTTTGATGTGTGATGAGCATTGTAATGTTTATATATTATTTGGATATAGCTATGCCTTTAAAAGACTAACAAGGTTTATGAGATGATGGATGATGATGATCATTATGAGAGCAAATTAATTTATTACATTGATAATTAATTATTCAAATTTAATAGTCAACACACACACAGATTATGTTTTATATTTTCGATTCTTCAAAGTCGCCACCTTTTGCTTTGGTGACAGCTTTAGCTACAGTCAGATCACTTCACAACTGTTAGCCCAAAAATAATGTTTGCACATATGATCACGTTGACAAAAAAAGGCACCCTTTTTTGGGAACGACTCATCCAATCAGGGTTGAAGGGCAGCTCTGGCATTCAAGCTAAAAATTCACACATCTGCACCTGTCGCTCCCAATGCTTTCACAATGGACTTCCCAGCTGAGATATATAACCTACTGTTGTTTTCTCTTCGTAGAACTGTATGCTAAAGCTATTTCTTAATCAGTTGTGTGTTGAAAAAAGCTACAAGAGTTTAACGAGGTATTTGGGCGTATAGCTGTGTCTCCGGTGAGGTCCTTGTTTAAGCTTAAACATGAAGTTGAACCGGCAGTTTAGGTCTGTGGTTTGTTTCTGCATCGGGGTGGTGTCCATACGGCTCCTGACCACACTGCCATAAAAGACAGACTCGTCTCCTCATCCATTAGCGCTTCTCTGAAAGACTGAGAGATGTCCGTGGAGGTAGAAGAGGAGCGAAAGTCAGACCCAAAGAGGAGATACGCGAGACTGTTTTGGCGTTTGTTTCCTCATGTTTTCCTCATTTTATCACTCATTTTATATGCGGTTTTAGGAGCGCAGATCTTTCGACAAATTGAGAGCAAGAATACTCACAATGAGTCGGAGCTGGAGATCCGTGCGGTGGCGCGAAATGTGGTGGAAACTGTGCAGAATCACACAGGTCTTACCTTGAGCTTATATATATATAAATTATAATGTATTATAACCTATAGGCTTTGTATGGTTTCACTGCGTTTCAATTATTCTATCATTTATTTTTATGTGATACTGTATATGTTATCAAATGTAGGCTAACTAATGTACACTTGTAATTTAATATATTTACGTATTTTTAAATAAGGTAGTATTTATGCTAAGCTTTCTTTTTTTAATTAGCATTTTCCCCGTTTCATTTCATTTGATCAATTAGATGCCTCAACACAGGAAGCGTTATTAATTAAAATAGAAAATATTTTGACTGAATTCCGGAAGTATCAGAACTGGAGCTTCTACAGTTCGCTTTTCTTCTCATGTACAGTGTTCACTACTGTTGGTGAGTAGTCTTACTGTTTTTCTGGAACTTCACAAATTTTGGAAAATGTTCTGTTTTATTGGGTTTTAACAAAAATATTTGAAGTCTGTATGTTTGTCTCAAAGTGTTGTTGCATTCAATGCACTATTGAGTTTGTTATTTGCTTGAGAAGCTTGACCTTTGGCTGTAGTCTCTTCCCAGTGCACACTGCACACACAATATCACCGTTGCCCACAGTAACCACAGCCTAACCATGATAAGACAAAAAGCAGGTACCGCCATCAGCATGTTAAGGATTACTATTTCTTTTTACCCTTTAATATTTTCATTAAATCATGTGTTTCCATAGGCTATCCATTAAGATCAATGAGTTTAATCTGGATGAGACTCCTATACAGGGTGTAAGAGATTGAATGACATCTATATTTTGTTTGTGTTGCAATGCTCATGCAATGGGCAAAAGCTAGGTTTAAGCCAAGAGATCAGTTATATAGATTATGGTTATGGTTCTCTACCATTATGCACTTGTCCAACAAGTGTATATTGAAATATAGGATTGAAGAGATTGAAGGATGAAGAGCCCACAATACCATTATTCTTTTTTAATTGACACAGCTGTAAGTAAACACAAATAATAATATTACATTTTGAAATGTTATTATCAAAGTTATTTAAGCAACTGTGTTTGTTGTTTTGTGTATTTGTTTGGAGCCCACTACAGTTAAGTGAGTGGAATTCACAGTCGTAATTACAGTGTATAGCTGAATATGTGCATTTGTTGCTGCCGTAAAGCAATCTGCCCTTTTCGTGCCCACTATACTTACTCCCAGAAAAAAAAACATTTGCCTTATTAGTAGTCAGTGTGCAATCAGAATAATTTATTTTAAAAAGTTCAAAAACATTTTAAAGTTTAAAAAATCTTGTTAAACGTTCGTTCAAACTCGCGAGACTTAAAACATAAAAACAAAACATATGCAGTTTGAGCTTTTTAGATAGGAAAGAGTAGATGAAACAGGAAACAAACTCAGGTCACCTACCCACTGCCCAACTAGGGTGTAGCTTAAAAAATATTGTGACCATGGATGGAAAATACAAGATTCAGACACAGATAATTGTGCCATTTCCAATAAACCATTAATGGGCCTCTCTTCAGAGAGCCATAGTAATCAAATCATGATTTACTATACAGAATATCATAGAAGCAACATGTCTTTTGTCTCTATTCAGTGGCAAATTTTGTTCTTTTACATTCATGGCTGTGGAGGATGTGGGGGAAAAAATCTCTCCACTAATTGTAAGTCACAGCTAACCACAGCAGCAGCTAACCTTAATGAGTATTGGTTTTTGAGGCTGATGAGTTCAGATGAGTTCAGAATCTTTTTCTCTTACTTTCATTCTGTATATATTATTTTTTACGTCAACCTCTCTGACACTTGCTCTGATGATAAAAAGATATTATCACCTACCCAGACAGTGGCAACAATGAGACCTATTTGTCGTCTGACAAAGCAATTGCAGATGCTTCTCCAAGTTAAACAACTTAATGTTTTCAATAGCTTTGAAATGTTGAAACATTTGGCTTTGATGCTTGGACAAAAACAGGTGCAGCAAAACAGGTGTATTGTCATTGACCTTTGGGAAGAAAAGTACATGATAAAATAAAATAGCAACCATGTGACACCATAACCTATTAAAATAAATGTATTGCCTCATATTAAGAGGACCGTTTTAGGCCATCATAATAATGTAACTAAGAATATATAATAATGAATCATTATAATTATAATAATTTATATTATAGTTCTAGAATTATGTAATTATATTATTTATTCTTAATTACATAATTATCATAATTATTATTAATTTCATATTATTATTAGTGTTGCTGTTGTTGCTCTCTATAGAGAGGGGTTTTTTTTTTGCTTAACTTTTACTGTAGTTAGCACATTGCATTACTGATGCACTGATAACGACATCCAGCAGGTGGCAGTACTGAGACCCATTGGTCTAATGGGTGAAGAAAATGGAAATTGTGTAAGAAATAGAATTTCTAACTCTGTTTTTCTTGTATAAAAGGTTATGGACAAATGTATCCAGTGACTTATGAAGGCAAGGTGGCTTGTATCATGTATGCGATGGTGGGCATCCCTCTCATGCTGCTAGTCATTTCAGATGTTGGCGATATCTTAGCTGTTCTTCTCTCTAAAGCGTACACTCACCTCAGCCTGTTCTTCAAGCAATGGATGTTACATCGCTCATGCATTCACAGGCTTGAAAATGCATTGCCTCCAAAACAAGTTCAAGGTGCTGATACCAACGACACCTATATGTTCAGCCAGGATGTTGTGGTGCACGAGACAAAGAACATTCAACAGTTGATAAAAACCCAGTCGTCCCTCAGACACACTTCCTTACAGATTCGTAACAACAAAGAGATCTTTGACCGCATGATTATTAAAGAGAACTTCAAGCTCAAAAGCACTCTGACAAAATCCTGCTCATGCCCAGACCTCGACCGTATACCACCCTCCAAAACCAGCTCCAAGTTATTTATTGGCATCGGACAGGAGATGGACAACTTTAAAGTCCCTCTGCTGGTCATCTTGCTGGTGGTATTTGCATATATGGTGGTCTGCAGTCAAATTCTGAAATGCTGGGAGAAGCAGATGGGCCATTTTGATGCCTTTTATTTCACCTTCATCACCTTGACCACCATTGGCTTTGGTGACATTTTGCCTGAACACCCAAAGTACTTCATGGTAACTTTTTTGTTTATCATTATGGGCATGGCCATTATGAGTATGGCCTTCAAACTTGGCCAATCGCGAATTGTTAGCTTTTACAGGCGGTGCATACAGTGTGTTAGCATGGGCAAGGTAGGAATATACGAAGACCTAGACAGTAACTGAAGGCAGAAAGAAGCAGTTGTTTTTTATGGCTTTGCTAATGACCCAAGAAAAGCATGAGCATCCTCAGCACAATATGGAAATGTGTTTTAATATCTATATATCAATGCCAGTTTGATATAGTGGGTTGAATGGAAATGAACCACAGTCCTGCTGCAGTAAACAAGTAGTAGTAGTAGTAATAATGAAGTATACACTCCTGTTAACTATTTCAGCCAAAAGCAAGGAAAATTTGAGGAAAATAGCATTGGACGTTGTTTATGTTTATTTTGTTTAGATATGTAGTTTGTCAGAAATGCACTAGCAATTCAAGTCACTTAGAAAGTCCATTTATTCCTGACATTTATTCATGTTCATGCAAGATGTATTGTATAACCTACTGGGTATTCATAATATATCCGATAAGAATATAATCAGTATTGTTTTTATTTTTTCATTCAATGCCAAGAGTGTAATATGATTCAACTTTCTGATCAATGTATTACTTTTATCTTAGTGGCATTAATGTTATGAAAAATTAATTTATTCACTAATACAAAAGCTAGTATGTAAATAATACGATTGAGCACCTGTAATATCTTGGCTGTGAAATGTAATATTATCAACTGATCATGCACTTTGAAATCAAGTGAATAAAGGAATCATTCATTCAGTGCCATCTGATGAGTTTGTATGTTTACAAAAATATCTCTATCGACGTCTCTTCTCCTCTTTCTCAACTAATAACGACCCCAAACACACCGCCAAGATGACAACTGCCTTGCTGAAAAAGCTGAAGGTGAAGGTGATGGAGTGGCCAAGTATGTCTCCAGACCTGAACCCTATTGAGCACCTGTGGGGCATCATCAAGCAGAAGGTGGAGAAGCGCCATGTGTCTAACATCCAGCAACTCCGTGATGTCATTATGGAGGAGTGGAAGAGGATCCGAGCAACAACCTGTGCAGCTCTGGTGAATTCCATGCCCAGGAGGATTAAGGCAGTGCTAGATAACAATGGTGCTCACACAAAATATTGACACTTTGGACACAGTTTTGACATATTCACTTAGGGTGTACTCACTTTTGTTGCCAGTTATTTAGACAACAATGGCTGTATGTTGAGTTATTTTTAGAGGACAGTAAATCTGTACTGCTATACAAGCTGCACATCGACTAGTCCAACTAGTATATCCAATTTTCATTTCTATAGTATTGTCCCTTGACAACATATAATAAAATGGTTGCTGAAATGTGAGGGGTGTACTCACTTTTGTGAGATACCGTACGTAACACCTCACTTCCTCCCGCGCCACAAGATGGCGCTGTTGTAAAATATATTGAAGAAAGAAGGCTGCTGATTTCACCCATCTGATACTGAAACACTTGACGTCAAACTGCTTCTGTTCTGTTTAACGTTAAACGAAAGTGATTGCAACTTTCCTTCTGCAAATAACTTCCTAATACTTCGCAATCGCAATCTTAAAGCGCACATACGACTTGTATCATTCTAATATGATAATAATAATAGCCTATAAGGAACTTATACTTAACTTGATATTAAATGAAGTAGTGTTAGATTATTTATTATTAAATAATAAATAATTATTAAATAGATTAATAAAATGAAACTAAAAACATCATAAATAAGGTGCTCCTGCCTTTCTCATTTCTGTGTGACGATTCATTCGTCCATGTCACAGCACAGCACAGCACACCCTCATTTGAGCTCTCTGTGAGACAGCACAGCACAGCACACCCTCATTTGAGCTCTCTGTGAGACAGCACAGCACAGCACACCCTCATTTGAGCTCTCTGTGAGACAGCACAGCACAGCACACCCTCATTTGAGCTCTCTGTGAGACAGCACAGCACAGCACACCCTCATTTGAGCTCTCTGTGAGACAGCACAGCACAGCACACCCTCATTTGAGCTCTCTGTGAGACAGCACAGCACAGCACACCCTCATTTGAGCTCTCTGTGAGACAGCACAGCACAGCACACCCTCATTTGAGCTCTCTGTGAGACAGCACAGCACAGCACACCCTCATTTGAGCTCTCTGTGAGACAGCACAGCACAGCACACCCTCATTTGAGCTCTCTGTGAGACAGCACAGCACAGCACACCCTCATTTGAGCTCTCTGTGAGACAGCACAGCACAGCACACCCTCATTTGAGCTCTCTGTGAGACAGCACAGCACAGCACACCCTCATTTGAGCTCTCTGTGAGACAGCACAGCACAGCACACCCTCATTTGAGCTCTCTGTGAGACAGCACAGCACAGCACACCCTCATTTGAGCTCTCTGTGAGACAGCACAGCACAGCACACCCTCATTTGAGCTCTCTGTGAGACAGCACAGCACAGCACACCCTCATTTGAGCTCTCTGTGAGACAGCACAGCACAGCACACCCTCATTTGAGCTCTCTGTGAGACAGCACAGCACAGCACACCCTCATTTGAGCTCTCTGTGAGACAGCACAGCACAGCACACCCTCATTTGAGCTCTCTGTGAGACAGCACAGCACAGCACACCCTCATTTGAGCTCTCTGTGAGACAGCACAGCACAGCACACCCTCATTTGAGCTCTCTGTGAGACAGCACAGCACAGCACACCCTCATTTGAGCTCTCTGTGAGACAGCACAGCACAGCACACCCTCATTTGAGCTCTCTGTGAGACAGCACAGCACAGCACACCCTCATTTGAGCTCTCTGTGAGACAGCACAGCACAGCACACCCTCATTTGAGCTCTCTGTGAGACAGCACAGCACAGCACACCCTCATTTGAGCTCTCTGTGAGACAGCACAGCACAGCACACCCTCATTTGAGCTCTCTGTGAGACAGCACAGCACAGCACACCCTCATTTGAGCTCTCTGTGAGACAGCACAGCACAGCACACCCTCATTTGAGCTCTCTGTGAGACAGCACAGCACAGCACACCCTCATTTGAGCTCTCTGTGAGACAGCACAGCACAGCACACCCTCATTTGAGCTCTCTGTGAGACAGCACAGCACAGCACACCCTCATTTGAGCTCTCTGTGAGACAGCACAGCACAGCACACCCTCATTTGAGCTCTCTGTGAGACAGCACAGCACAGCACACCCTCATTTGAGCTCTCTGTGAGACAGCACAGCACAGCACACCCTCATTTGAGCTCTCTGTGAGACAGCACAGCACAGCACACCCTCATTTGAGCTCTCTGTGAGACAGCACAGCACAGCACACCCTCATTTGAGCTCTCTGTGAGACAGCACAGCACAGCACACCCTCATTTGAGCTCTCTGTGAGACAGCACAGCACAGCACACCCTCATTTGAGCTCTCTGTGAGACAGCACAGCACAGCACACCCTCATTTGAGCTCTCTGTGAGACAGCACAGCACAGCACACCCTCATTTGAGCTCTCTGTGAGACAGCACAGCACAGCACACCCTCATTTGAGCTCTCTGTGAGACAGCACAGCACAGCACACCCTCATTTGAGCTCTCTGTGAGACAGCACAGCACAGCACACCCTCATTTGAGCTCTCTGTGAGACAGCACAGCACAGCACACCCTCATTTGAGCTCTCTGTGAGACAGCACAGCACAGCACACCCTCATTTGAGCTCTCTGTGAGACAGCACAGCACAGCACACCCTCATTTGAGCTCTCTGTGAGACAGCACAGCACAGCACACCCTCATTTGAGCTCTCTGTGAGACAGCACAGCACAGCACACCCTCATTTGAGCTCTCTGTGAGACAGCACAGCACAGCACACCCTCATTTGAGCTCTCTGTGAGACAGCACAGCACAGCACACCCTCATTTGAGCTCTCTGTGAGACAGCACAGCACAGCACACCCTCATTTGAGCTCTCTGTGAGACAGCACAGCACAGCACACCCTCATTTGAGCTCTCTGTGAGACAGCACAGCACAGCACACCCTCATTTGAGCTCTCTGTGAGACAGCACAGCACAGCACACCCTCATTTGAGCTCTCTGTGAGACAGCACAGCACAGCACACCCTCATTTGAGCTCTCTGTGAGACAGCACAGCACAGCACACCCTCATTTGAGCTCTCTGTGAGACAGCACAGCACAGCACACCCTCATTTGAGCTCTCTGTGAGACAGCACAGCACAGCACACCCTCATTTGAGCTCTCTGTGAGACAGCACAGCACAGCACACCCTCATTTGAGCTCTCTGTGAGACAGCACAGCACAGCACACCCTCATTTGAGCTCTCTGTGAGACAGCACAGCACAGCACACCCTCATTTGAGCTCTCTGTGAGACAGCACAGCACAGCACACCCTCATTTGAGCTCTCTGTGAGACAGCACAGCACAGCACACCCTCATTTGAGCTCTCTGTGAGACAGCACAGCACAGCACACCCTCATTTGAGCTCTCTGTGAGACAGCACAGCACAGCACACACTCATTTGAGCTCTCTGTGAAACAGCGTGACGTCAAACACCAGTCAAGCAACTAAAACGCTCCGCATCCAGCGTGCCTTTCACCCAGCGGCATCTGACGGCAAAGCTCAATGCAAATGTGCTTATAAGGTAAGAATTAAAACCATACTGGATATATGATTCATCGCAAATATTTAGACTTAGAAAAAAAGTATAAGAAAGGGAAAAATCACTATTGTTGATAGTTTATTATTTTCAGAGAGCTTCAGTGCATACATTTATAATTGTAAAAAAAGTGTAAATTTACTTTAATATTTGACATAGGCCTATTTCTCTCATATTAGTAACCATCCCCTTAAGTTTCTCTCTGTAGATTATTATTAAACACATTTTATAATGTTTTGATGTACTGGTGTTCTTTGACAGTCTTTTTTTTTTTTGTTCTGTTGCAGGATTTTTTTTTCACTCGCTCTCTGGCATTTGGATTTGGATAAAATGGGATTATTTGATGCTCTTAGAGATTTTAGTTTATTAACATGGCTAAGAGAAGAAAAACAGTCTCGGAGGCTGATTCTGTTGATCGTTTTCATTGCGTTGCTGTTGGACAACATGCTGTTGACGGTGGTCGGTAAGCGCTACTGTTGTTCACACCTGTTACATGTGTTACACGTGCAGGCACATATGATGCAAAGAGCACATATCCCTCACAGCGACCAATGATAAACTGTTCATTCAATGCTTATATACATAAGATGCGTTTTTATGATAAAATATATTATCACATAATATGCTGTCATGATATTAAATGTCTGTAACATTCACAAAACGTACAATTTCATATATTCATAGACTGTTTTCATATAGCTATATCAATTTGATATATTTTGCATTATGTATGTATTATGAAAATGTGTCACTAACAGTATACAAATGTTAATTACTGCACGTAAATAATTACGTGCATTAAAAGTAAAATTATAAATCTGCGCCTAGGACTATCCTAAACGATTGTTTCCCCTGTCGGCTGCTCCAGTGGCTGCGGTTGATTTGAATGAAAGTAGCCTATCATATCCTCTAACGCTGCCAGAGCTCCGTCCGCGCGTGTGTAGCCTATGTCTCATAATGTGGCAGTGTGACGCGCGCTTTAAACTGTCTTTGTTTATTCTCACGTCCGCGAGCCAAGAAACGGGCACGGTAATTAAGCTGGAAATAATACACACGATGAATATGGCCCGTGTGTACATACAGATGGAACCAGGCGAAAACTAAACCTCTTTGGCTCAAGTGTTGAATGAGCAGGCTTTTAAGCGTTATCGCACACGGTGTCCCTGTGGGTTATTTACGCATGATAATGTCGAACGTATCTAAGAAACCCAACATTGTTCACAAGAAAGGTCAAATGTGGGCTTACACAGCTAGATACATCTTTGAACTTCATTTTTATTATTATTATTTTTTTTTTGGAAAATGATTGGTAAACCGTGATTCTAGTTGTCTAAAAATGATTCGTAAAAATGATCTGTCTCTGCCTCATGGTTATTAATTATCTCTTCTCTTTCCTCTCTGTAGTGCCTATTATTCCAAGCTACCTGTACTCAGTGGACGATGAGGCTGCTCAGTCGGTCCGGAATCACTCCATGTCCCCTCTGTCCCCATCTGGCACCTTTCAGAGCATTGTGTCTCTGTACGATAACACAACACGCCTGACCGGCTTCAGCCCACAGATGAGCACGGCTGGCCCAATGACCCCAGCGCCTACTTCTGTGATGCCCTCTCAAAATAAGTCTGACTGCCCCAAAGCAGATGACCAGCTTCTGAATGAGAACGTGAAAGTGGGTCTGTTGTTTGCCTCTAAAGCAACAGTACAGCTAATTACTAACCCCTTTATAGGGCCCCTAACCAACAGGTGGGTTAAGGCAAAATCACACGTTTAACTTTGAAAGTACAGCAACTAGCATTTCTCTCAAAAGGAGCATGAGATTGCATGATATGTTTGTGCATGCAGTGAGTGTAAATGGAGTGTAAGTAAGGTGAATATTGCAGTGCAGTTGTCTTTCTGCCTCTGTCTGTTGAGTGATCAGCAGTAGTGTGATCACTCGTGCATGTGCCGTCACCCCTCTACATGCTCAGTATTGGCCAGTCCAGTTTAATTCATCACTGCTGCATTGAACGGATCCCACTAGAGCTTGGCAAAATCTTGGGATCGGTCAGCTATAATATTTTGTAGCAATGTGCATCACTGTTCGTGATACACAAAGTGTAACTCACAAGATGTGAAGCAGAAGCAAAAATACATTATGTATATGATCTTATAATTATTATAGTAAAAGAAAATCTTAATTTTACTTATGAGTGATGCCAGCACTGTAAGAGAGTTTTAAGTTCCATAGGTGAGACATTCGTGATTAATTTCAAATTTCTAATTGCAGAATAGGATACCAGATCCCGATGTTTGCTGGTTTCTGCATCATGTTTGTGTCAACCATAAGTGAGTAAATAAAGAGTAATTTCTAACCCTTTTTTAACATTAATCCACTGTAATTACTAAGTGTCTTTATGGAAAGGGGTGGAGAGGATGCCATATATTTATACAATGTAAGATTTAGCTACAAGCTATCTGTTGTGTGTATTTCTATGATAAATATGTCTACTTTTTCTTTTTCTCCTGTCTGTTTTTCTCTGTGTGAAGTGTTTGCATTTTCATCGAGCTATACGTTGCTGTTTTTGGCCAGATCTCTACAAGGTGTCGGCTCCTCCTGTTCTTCTGTGGCAGGTAACAGATCTTGTGCAATATTATGTTAGAATTCAAAAGTATGCTGTCAAAAGCTGCAATGTAATGCTTTATTATGCCTTAGTAAATCTTGAGTGTGCTAAACTTATTTGACTTTGATGTTCTTAGTCTGCATGCATAAAGCCTGATAAAGTTAATGGTGTTTGGGTGCTTGTGTAAAATGCACCCTGTTCCTATTAAAAGATGTATACAGCCTTGGATCTAGATTACAAAACTGGCTCTTGAAACTCCTGATTAGTGATTTCATTATAAAATTCATATGTTATTGAGTTGATTTTTTGGTTTATTGCTCAAATTTAAAGGGCTTATATTGTGAGGAATCACATTTACCTCAGTCTTTTGAAAGAGCTAGAACACAGAATTAAATGTACACCCCAAAAAGAGCATAAAAGTATTTTTTGTGATGTCACACTGATGGATGCTAAAAAAGCTTGAGAAATCTAAAATATTATATTGCACAACATTGCACAAAATACTAATATAAGCAGATATACAAATATAATACTAATATAACAGACAAGAAAAAAACCTTTACCCTCTGTAACTAACTATTTCTGTTTGTTAATATGCAGGTATGGGGATGCTGGCAAGTGTTTACACAGATGATGAGGAAAGAGGAAATGCTATAGGAATTGCCCTGGGAGGACTAGCCATGGGAGTTTTGGGTGTGTACTGTATGTCTAGAATTTTTTTAAATATTTTGATCTGGAAAACAGGTACATTGGAGATCTTGAATCCAAAATCTAATCTTACTCCTTGAAACACAGACTGAGCAAAGAGAGAAACGTAATGTTGGGGGGGTTATGCATTAAGTGCCTTGGAGTTTAAGGTTGGGGAGGTAACTTTAAGTGGCATGTTTAAAGCCCAAGAGCAGTGGTCAGAAGAAATGCCCTGAGTGGGGCCTGAACCTGGTGCTTCCTGTTAATGATGTCATGCATTAACCACTGTTGCAGGATGTTTAATCCCTGATAGTCCATTATTTTATTCATAATGGCAAGTAAGGCGTTAAAAAATGTTGATCGACTGGATAAGAGCTATTTTGTCCTAAGTGATTATATTTTGCTGTCATCATTAAAGTGCGCAAATACTGTACTTGTTAATCAAGTGGAGAACAGCAGAAAAATGGACCACAATAATTTAAATTAAAACCTATAAAACTATATTCGTCTGGATAGTTTCAGATTTGAAATGGGTTTGTTGTTTCAGAACACTTTGTTGTTTTACTGTGGTTTGGTAATGTAAACTGTTCTGCAGAGCAATTAGTATTGGATTTGTGGCCTGTGTTAGTTCAAAGCATATTGGCAACGTCAAGAGTTTTCAAAGTAAAGATAGTTTGAGGTGCAGTACTTGCATCAAGTTTTTGAGTAGTATGCCGTATACTATGTGTGTGTGTGTGTGTGTGCGTGTGTGTTGTGCAGTTGGCCCTCCGTTTGGAAGTGTCATGTATGAGTTTGTTGGTAAGACGGCTCCTTTCCTTATCCTGGCAGTGCTGGCGGTGCTTGATGGAGGTGAGTTCATCAATCTCTGTTCTTTAAGCTTCCCAACATTTTTCCAATCAAAACAATGAGAATGATAGATTCAGTAGTAAAGCTTCATGTTATTGTGATAGAAATGTGGAATTGAATGCTGGTGACAGAAACTCATTATAACTGTATTCCTGATGCTGATCAATGTTGGCTTTATATCTGATGTTTTTTCTTCTTCTCAATTTTCATGAACAGCTCTGCAGCTATTTGTGCTTCAGCCTTCTAAGGTTGATCCAGAGGTGAGTACAGTACCTTCTTTCCTGATTTAATTTGATCTAACTTTCTGTTTTCCAATACTAGTTTTGGGGGGTTAGTATAGCATTAGGTAAACATTCACCTAAAGGTCAAGCTCTGCATTTGAAAGGCTTTGTGCAAGCATTTTGACAAAGAATGTGTGTTTAAGTGTGAATACTTGGGTTTTACAGCTACACTGTTATTTACAATGATATTTGGGATTTAAAATGTAAATTTTTGGGGGCTAAAATCCTGAGCAAGAAGCTTACTATGACCTAGCAATAGATTTGCACAGCCTATTAATCATGATTTGGGCTCATTTTTGTAATTGCTTTGCTCATTTTTGTAATTTTGTAATTGTACCTTAATGGGAAAATGTAGCTTCAACAAGTTCCACATTATATTGAATGTTTGCTTATTCCTCTTGTGGGCAGAAACTGGGAGAAGAAGCTTTGGGAATTATCTGTATTTCGTACTATGATTGGTCTAGTCTTATCAGTAACAGGACTAGAATGATTTGCAAGAGGAGTTTGGGTCTCTGGGTACTTTTAAACAAAATGTATTTGGGATTGAAAATACGTTATATGGATTACAGTGTATGTATGTGTAGATTGTAGTGAATGTTGATAGCAGTGTGTGTAGATGGACACTGTATTTGGAATAATGTGTGGCTGATCCAATCAAAGCATGTCTGACTTTGATCAATGGGGTTGATGGGTATCAGTTACTACGGAGACCCCAAGTGCCCCTACAGACAGTGTGTGTATTTATGTAGCTACTTATGTTTGGGTGATCTGTGAGATTTTGTCATCTTTCATGTGGAATGAAGCACTAACAGTGGGTTATGTTTTCCAGCAATAAATAAGCTTAAAAATAAATCTAATGGGAAATGCTACACTCTTATAAATAAAAGTTTTATGGAAAAACCTTTAACATCCATGGAACCCTTTTATTGTACAAAATTACAAAAAAGGTTATTTTTAGATTTTAAAATGTTCTTCACACTAAGAAAAAAAAATATTTTAAGAACTGTTTGGGAAACCAAAAGTGGTTCTTCTGTGGCATAACTGCAAAAAACCCTTTTGGAACCTTTTTTTTGTATATTGTCAGTCAAGTGAGCTTAACAATTTAAGAGGGCAAAAAAAAATGAGTACAAATGTCCTTCTGCACTTTCTGCAGGCTGTTCAGCTAAGATTTAATATGCACTGACTAAGAAAAGCTCTCACATGATCAAGTTTGTGACATAAAGATTATATTTTCAACAGATCTGAGTGACATCGATTAAAAGGTCAGTTTCTTTTGTCATCATACCACAGTTAAGACCAGAAGGTGGTGGACCTGTCATCTCAAATCAGTAATCAATCAGATCAATAATGCTTGGACATCAGGTTGTAGTTATGCTCAGATACAGTAGATTTTTCATTTAGAAGCCCCCTTGAGTGTCAATATCCAACAGGATTATGGGAAAGAAGTGACAACTAATTGTTTGGGGGCTGTGATTATTCACAGAATTAATTAACCTGGTTAGGGCAGTGCAACTGAATGTGACAGGGTGTTTTGAGTGGGATGACATGTCCACAGAGAAGTATGTGCAATGAAGTGGAGTAAAGAAGTGCTGATTTAATGAGGGGGTAATTGTCAGTCTTTGCCTGGTGACTGCTCAAAAAAAAAATCCACTGAAAGATAGCATCACTACGGGTATTTCTTCCAACTCACAAGAAATATCATAACTAGAATTTCACATTTTAAAGCTGTAGCGTGTCACTAACATCATAATGAAATGTCAAATGTTAAAGAATGAAATGGTTACCTAAACAGTCCCCCCGTCTACCATTGGTTGATAAAAAAAATGCCCCAAATTCATGCCATTGGTTGAGCTGATGTCGCTGTTGTTTAAAAACAGAGCAATGTTTCCTATCAACCTACAAATGGCTTGATCATTGTCTCTATGTGTTTCTATGTATTATGCTGTGATAGAAGAAACTTTTTTAACATTGAAAAAAGTATACACATCATCATTTAATCACTTACTTGAATAATTTGTTAACTAATATGCTTTACCTTTCTTTTGGCAAAAGTCATACCTAAAGTAAAAAAAAAAGAATATTTCTGTAGCCTAGACATTCGCACTAAAGATGCCACAATTCCCATATCAATATGGAGAGTTAAGACTGGTATATAAGTTGTCTGTGATCTTCTTTTCACTGATCACTTAGAGGTGTCATAAAGGGAACAGACTGCGTACAGGCATATTGATTTGTGTGACTCTCAAAGAGCCCATCTTCATGGGAACCGCTGTGGTGACTAGGGCCATGTTTTTCAAATTGGATTATACGGCCTGATGTACATCCCTTTAGAAAAACTCGCCTGACTTGAGTGAGGCCAGGATTGTTAATGGAATGTGATAAAATCCCACATCAAATATGTAAATAAATAAATGTCTTATTATATCTCATATATGTAAAATTTTTGCTTTATATTTCTGGTACAGTAGGTGTATTTAGCAGTAGCATTCAATAAATTTAATGAACAAATATAAAAAATAAAACACTACATACACTTCACTGTATAAATTATACATTGATTCTTATTAAAGTAACTGTATTAAAGTTCTTCAGTCAAGAGCAGTGAGTGATTTTTCTCTGTTTTGTTATTTTAATAACATTAAATGGATAGTTCACCCAAAAATGAAATATCTGTCAGATATAAGTTGTTTTAAACCTGAATGAGTTTCTTTCTTCTGTTGAACATAAAAGTTATTTTCAAGAACGTGGAAAACCAAACAGTTGCTGGTCCCCAGTGACTTCAATAGTATTTTTTTTCCTACTATCAAAGTCAATGGGGACCAGCAACTGTTTGGTTACCCACATTCTTCAGAATATCTTCTTTTGTGTTCTGCACAAGAAATAACTTAATACAGGTTTGGTACAATATGAGAGTCAGTAAATAATGACAGAATTGTAATTTTTGGGTGAACTGTCCCTTTAATGACACATTATGTTTACATTGCATTACATTATGTTTAGTACTTTTAGTCTGCTGACACTTTAAGACCTGTACGCATCTAAAACACAGGCACACATCCGTTTTTCTCTCAACTGTTTACCTTCACTTTAGACATAACCAACTGTTTATATGTAAACCTTGTGTGTTTTTGACAGTATTAGCACAATCAGATGCGAAAGATAACTTAGTCCAGTAATCAGGCACTGTTTGACAGGCTTTTTCGAGTGCGAGCGCTTCAGGTGTACACGCTGAGAAAAAGCGCATGTCAGAACAGCACACGAATAAAATGTTTAACCGGCAAGGCTTTAAAGCACATGCAAATAATGTACTTTTGTGATTGCGAATAAGTGCAGTGTCCCATGAGTGTAAAACTACCACTACATTATTTCTTCAAAAGCTGATTGTGGAGACATTTTAATCATCCTCGTTCAAAAATCGTGATATCGCACACCCCTACTTCAAATATAGCAAAAATCTAAATTTCTTTTGATTTCCCCCCATAGGAATAAATGGAGAACTGTGGTATCCAGGATTTGTTTCTTGTGGCCCAAGACCATGTACCCAGTATATGACACGTTTTTGACTTTGATTGCAGTTGTTTTTTCACTGCAATATTGATGTTCAGGGTAAAATGTTTACTTTATTTTAATGAACTGATGTTTTAATTTTTTCCCAGAGCCAAAAAGGATCATCACTAATTACCCTCATGAAGGATCCATACATCCTCATTGCAGCAGGTCAGACCAGACAAATAAACTGTTCATTCCTACTGTTTTATCAAAAATAAAAGTGCAAACCTTATTATCTTTTTAAAGGTGAATGTTTTTGATAAGAATGGATTCAGATCTGTATGTCTTTGAATACATGTGAAAAAAGAAACCAATGGTTTAATCAAGTATGTATGACACTAGCTGTGCTTTAGGGGGTGTGACACATTTAAGTGGGTCATCTTTCTGTGACAGAGAAGGATAAGAAAGTGTCAAATGTGTGTATATGTGAGAAAGAGAGAGAGAGAGTGAAGTGGTCAAGAATCACATCTGTGTTTGTCTCTGCTTCCCCTCCTCTCCAATTACAGTGGCCTGAGTGCAGGGGCAAGATGATGCTGTTTATTATATCTGAGAAAGGAAAAGAATGGGCGCTGAGGGAGGGGGGAAAGATGGACAGAAAGAGAGAATTCTTCAGAGGATGAATCCACTTACCCTCCTCATTTTCTTTTTCAGGTTCCATTTGTTTTGCTAACATGGCCATTGCTATGCTGGAGCCAGCTCTGCCCATCTGGATGATGGAGACAATGTGTCCCAGGACATGGCAGCTAGGTTGGAAAATGTGCTTCTTGTTATTGTGCACACTTACACATTTCTTCAATTCCCGTTGTTCCAGATAGATTTTTACTGTGGGCAAGATGGAAAATAGGTCATAATTTACAATGAAATATGGACAAAGTGAAAGAAACCGCAAATAAAGCCTAAATTATGTTTAATTTTTTAGTATATTAATGTTACATTAGGGACACAAGCTAAAGACAGCGAATATTAGTAAAAAGCTCAAAACAGTGACAATCAATAAAAATGATCAGATCGTATTTTACAGCAGAAAGAAAAAGAAAATGCAGAAAGAAAAAAAAATGAATGAAGAAAAAAATTATATTTAAAAATATATTTTAAATCAAATATATTATTTATTTTAATGGTATTATTTATTTGTTTTAATTTGACCTTTTTTGTGATTTAATTCACTATTAGCTTTTCATCATCTCACTAATCCCTGAAGTTCCCTTGTGAAGCCCAGTTCTGAAACTGCTGTAATGTAAAAATATTATATTATGTAAATTGTCACATATTAGTGTTAGTGTAATTAGTGTTTACTATTGTCATTTTGCATTATTGACACTATTTTCCTAATTAATGCTGTTCAGTTGCTTTGTCACAATCTGTATTGTTAAAAGCGCTATATAAATAAAGGTGACTTGACTTGACTTGACATATATTTGTAAAGTACAATTTTAAGTAAACATCATATTAGTATTTGTTTGAATAAACTTAATTTATGCTGATTCTAATTACTATCAAATTATTGGGCCTGAACTGGATGATTAACATTTTTTTGCATTATATTAATGAGAATGAAATTATTTTATTATAATGAGAATACAATTTTAATACCATTTTAGGAGGAAATGTCTTTTTTTTGTCATACTTTTCTTAATTATATATATATATATATATATAACTGTATATTTTATTTATTAATTTTTTTTGTGAGGGAAGCAAATTACACATTTCTGTCCACAGATTCACACAATTTGCTAACAATAATAATAATAGTTTTAGAATAGTTTAATAATTATTTTCACATACTTCCAGAATTGTGTAAAGAAAAAGCACTAAACTCTTGTTCTCCATACAGTGCACTTCACCCTCCAGACTGTAAAATACAATTTAAAGAGTTAGTGTCTTCTGGGTTTCTCCACAGTTTTCCTGCTGTTTACAAAGCTTTGACAGATAATAAAGAGAAAGAGAAAGAAAGGAAAGCAGAGAAACAGGGAGAGTGAGGATGGGAAAGGGAGTGTCTTTGGTCTGGCAGGATATTGAGGTGTCATTGGCAGGCAAAGGAAAGCAAGAGAGCTAATGAAAGAGAAGGAGCGGGAGAATGAGAGAAGCAGCTTCATAACCGCGTCAGTGAGACGAACAGCAGCTTTGAGATCAAACTGATATTGGGTCGTCTTATCTGAGCTCTCTCCTCTCTCTCCTTTTAGGGGCTGCGTTCCTGCCAGCCAGCATCTCATATCTAATAGGGACCAACATCTTTGCCGTTTTGGCTCACAAAATGGGGAGGTAGGAGAGGGAAATTAATGTGTTTTTTCCCTACTTTTCTTGCCTTATCTTCCTCCGCGTTGCTATCAGTTTCCTCTGTTTTGAAAGAGCACTAAATGAGTTTCTGTCGCCAGGTTTTGTAATTGTGTTTTTAAAAATCATTCTCAGCATGCTGTTTATTTGTTTATTTATACTATACACACTACTTAAAATGAGCTATAAGCACTTATAAGAGGCATATACATGATTCCCATTATCAGAATATGTTATGTCTGCAGGGTACGAAATTAAGTCTGTCACACCTGCCAGTGGCGACTGGGAGAATATTATTGGCCATAAATATTTCTTAAAGAATTTTGTTTGTTTTCATTAAAATTAGCAAATGTAATTTATTAATAGATAGATATATAGATACATTTTTTATTAAAAAACAGTACTTTAAAATATTTTAAAGCGTAATTTATTGCTGTGGTGGCAATGTTTCGGTGCTGCCCTAGTTATTGTTTGTTATTGACTTTTTAATCAGGTTACTTGTCCGGTCGGGCAAGTAAAATTCTCTTTTAATTGCCCCTTCACAAAATCCACTTGTCCCGGACAAGCCCTGGTTTCTAAGAAAAGACTGGCATGTCTGGCAAAGCATTTGAATTGTCAGTGGAAAACACAGCAGGGCCTGTAGATTTGCACTGTGACATTTTATGAACTTTATTATTCATCTCTATTAGGACTGGTGCTGTTGTTGTGAGCTTTGTGACCTAAGGTTTGTTACTGAATGTCTTAGTCCCCAGTCAACCTCTGGTTCAGAACAGCAGACATTTGTTGGCTTCATCTTTAGTTCTCTCTCTCTCTCTCTCTGTAGATGGCTGTGCTCACTTATAGGGATGCTTCTGGTTGGAATCAGCATTCTCTGTGTAAGTTCTTTTAGACGAAATCCCTGTCAGGTATTAACTTCTCTCAGAGAACACACCACACCTGTGAATATTTCAACACCTTATCATCTGTCGTTTCAATACTGCAGAGGCCTAAGAAGTTTTATTGCCCACTACCGTGGTTGAGGGCAGGAAAGAAGGTTTATTTTGAAATTAGAGCTCTGACTCTCTTTGCCCTGGACATATCCTGCTAAGCAGGAAGACAGTCTGTTCTCTTATAGATGCTTATCAGATTAGACTGGAAAACAAGTTCAGATGAGAGTCAAGTACACATTTGGAATTTTTCTTATGGAAAAAAAACATCAGGGTTAAAAAGGTTATGAAAAGACAAAAAAAAACAGTTTTCTGTTCTACAGAATGTTTGACTATTTGATGTTTTCACGTAATCAATAATTTATTAGACGAAATCCCTGTCAGGTATTAACTTCTCTCAGAGAACACACCACACCTGTGAATATTTCAACACCTTATCATCTGTCGTTTCAATACTGCAGAGGCCTAAGAAGTTTTATTGCCCACTACCGTGGTTGAGGGCAGGAAAGAAGGTTTATTTTGAAATTAGAGCTCTGACTCTCTTTGCCCTGGACATATCCTGCTAAGCAGGAAGACAGTCTGTTCTCTTATAGATGCTTATCAGATTAGACTGGAAAACAAGTTCAGATGAGAGTCAAGTACACATTTGGAATTTTTCTTATGGAAAAAAACATCAGGGTTAAAAAGGTTATGAAAAGACAAAAAAAAACAGTTTTCTGTTCTACAGAATGTTTGACTATTTGATGTTTTCACGTAATCAATAATTTATAAAAAAAATATGTGGCAGCTTCCAGTATTGAGCTCTTCTAATTGTTCTACAGGTGCCTCTTGCAAAAGACATATACGGACTCATTGTGCCAAACTTTGGAGTTGGATTTGCAATAGGTGAGCTTTGCTCCTTTACTATATCTATATCAGAATTTCTTAAAATACTATTGTACTATGTTAATGTCAAGTCAGATCACCTGTATTTATATTGCACTTTATACAAAAGAGATTGTAGTAGGGCTATAGCAGGGCTAAAATGACAACAGTGTCATTATTCAGCTCCGATCAGTTCAGTGTTGATTCGGTTCAGTTCAAAAACTGTGTAATGTTCAACAGACATAAAATAGGTTCAATTCAGTGTAACTTACTTAATGCAACATACTCACTGTAGAGGTAGTTCTCCTATACAATTTTTATAATTTAAAATGAAAAAAGTAAACAAACAAAATTGTTATGATTATAATACTGTAGAATTTGTAATGAAAATTGTATTAGAAAATGCAAAATAGGAGCATTTCACTAATGGCATTAGACCCACTTTATGAAATAGTCCATATTTTGTGGTCTGCAGGTATGGTGGACTCCTCCATGATGCCTATCATGGGTTACCTAGTAGATCTGAGGCATGTATCTGTGTACGGTAGTGTGTATGCCATTGCTGATGTTGCCTTCTGCATGGGCTTTGCAATAGGTAATTTTTCCAATTCTGTTATTAATTCTCATTAATTCATTAGAATTTCTACTTGGAAGGTTTTTAGAGGAATGTGTTAACAGCATTTAACACTCGTGTGTGTGTTGTGTAGGTCCATCGGCAGGCGGGGCGATTGCAAAGAGCATCGGCTTTCCCTGGCTCATGACCATCATTGGTGTAATAGACATCCTGTTTGCTCCTCTCTGTTTCTTCCTGCGAAATCCTCCCGCCAATGAGGAAAAGATGGTCAGACCCCACAATGTGTCATCCATCAATTCAACATGCATTAAATTCATTCCAATCTACTCACGCTCTAACACAAATATTACAGCAGTATTACAGCACATGTGCATATATTTACAATTTCACTTAAATTTTCATTTGAAATCCGTTTTACTCCCAAAATGTGACAATTTCTATGTAAAACAGGATATTTAATGAGAAGAATTTTATACATTGGGAATGGATCAGATGATAGCTGTTACCAACCAGAATGGATCCAGGCCAAATGCATGTTTGATAAATGTGACCCTGGACCACAAAACCAGTCATAAGGGTCCATTTTTCGAAATTGAGATTTATACATTATCTGAAAGCTGAATAAATAAGCTTTCAGTTGATGTATGGTTTGTGGTATTTGGCCAAGATACAACTATTTGAAAATCTGGAATCTGAGGGTGCAAAAACATTTAAATACTGAGAAAATCACCTTTAAAGTTGTCCAAATTAAGTTCTTAGCAATGCATATTACAAATCAAAAATTAAGTTTTAATATATTTACAGTAGGAAATTTACAAAATATCTTCATGGAACATGATCTTTACTTAATATCCTAATGATTTTTGGCATAAAATTAAAATCAATAATTTTGACCCATACAGTGTATTTTTGGCTATTGCTACAAATATACCCCAGCGACTTAAGACTGCTTTTGTGGTCCAGGGTCACAAATAGCTGATCCAACAGCAAATAATGCCTAAGTCATGTCAGAAATAACGATACGTCATTTCAGTGGAATAACAATTTGTATTAATTTTTTTATATTCGAAAGACAAACATTAACATGCACAAAGCATTTACAAAAAGACCAGCACCATTTAAAGTAAACAAGGGTCCATTTTGATTTCATGTTGCCTTCAAAATGGACAGTTTTTATTTGTGATTTTTGCACTTTGATGCAAAAAAGATGGACGTATCCTGACTCATATCTGTATTCTCTTCATTATTACCATTGCTATTATTCCAGAAGTAACCATATGTTCACTCCCCACCTGCCATTCACACACGCTTTCCTTTTGATTTCATCTCTAACTTCAAGTCACTGACATGATAGAATATGACTGCAATAGGAAATTATGTTACATAATAGATACAAATAAAAACTGCGCAGGATGCCCTTAAGCTAAGATGAAAGAGTGATGTTCATCTGAACAGACTCGTGCGTTTGCCCTCAAATGCTGTGTGATCAAAGCCAAGCATCATGGTCTTTCTTTCTCAATCTTTCTCAAGAGGAACACTACACTGTTCCTGAAGAGCACTAACGTGCACACGCACACAAGCCAGATCTGTACGCCTCTGTGCTTACGCACTCTTTATCAAAGCCTCATTCAATCACAGTGCAATAAACCCACCCTCTCTCACTATCAGTGGTGTACTGCCAATGAGATCAGCTCCACCCACAGTTGATGACAATCACATATGGTCGTATCGGGTGTGAATTCGTATGGCTGATGGAGACGCAAATGTATCCCTCTTGTTCAATACTTTACTCTTTATGTCCTTTTCTGAAATTAACATTTCTGTTCACAGTAGTAGTCAATCAGATTTACACAGAGTATCACTTAAAAATAAAATAATCATTAAAGTATTAATTAAAAAAATTCAAATGTGTATAAACACTTTTCAAATTTACTAATAAATAGACTCCAAAATAGTTTACTACTTGGCTATCTTTTAAACATGTATTTAAATTGTATTATTTATTTAAATATTTTAATTTGAAGTGCTCTGTTAAATTGTTTTTCTTTATTTTTATAAATATAGTAATTTATGATTTATTTAGTAAATAAGTTATATTTAAATTACTTGTTATTTATTATTGTATTTACGTATTTATAAGTACATCTGTTTGTCAATTTGACAAGTTAATTTGAAAGTTATTCGTTGAAATTTGTATTTTGTTTAATAAGTTAGTGTTGTTTTTATTTGTCACTCCTGGTCCCTCATAACTGCAGGTCTACAGAGGTCTACTTTGGAGCATGTGATACATTGTTTCCTACCTACATAATTCTTAAGTCTATGTAAAGACAGTATTTTTGCTTTGATGTGGTTTGTATGTGATAGATAAATGTAACAGCATGAGCTGTGAGGTGTTCCGTACACCAATGATGGTTTCTAATCTCTGTTTCTTTCTCAGGCCATTTTGATGGATATATATATATATATATATATATATATATATTTTAGTAAGTCCTTTGAATGTGCTGGAATGCTAATCTGTTCATTTGTAAAGAATGCCTCAATACTTCTCTTTCCCATTTTTGACTTTTAATTTTCCTGTTTTCCTCTAATGTGTTATTAATCTTTTTAAGAACTGAACTGGCTGTGAAATGAAACATGGCCTTAAATTGAAAGCCATATATAAAATTACTGGGGTTCTATCAAGAATACAAATATTTATTTAGTTTATTTATTTGTCTGTGGCAAGGAGCTTAAAGGAACACTCCACTATTTTTGAAAATAGGCTCATTTTCCAACTCCCCTAGAGTTAAACCGTTGAGTTTCACCGTTTTCGAATCCATTCAGCCGATCTCCGGGTCTGGCGGTAGCACTTTTAGCTGCAGCTTAGCATAGATCATTGAATCTAATTAGACCGTTAGCATCTCGCTCAAAAATGACCAAAGAGTTTCTATATTTTTCCTATTTAAAACTTGACTCTTCTGTAGTTACATCGTGTACTAAGACCGACGGAAAATGAAAAGTTGCGGTTTTCTAGGCCGATATGGCTAGGAACTATACTCTCATTCCGGCGTAATAATCAAGGAACTTTGCTGCCATATCATAGATGCAGCAGGTGCAATGAATGATATTACGCAGCGCCTTAGTACACGATGTAACTACAGAAGAGTCAAGTTTTAAATAGGAAAAATATAGAAACTCTTTGGTCATTTTTGAGCGAGATGCTAACGGTCTAATTAGATTCAATGATCTATGCTAAGCTGCAGCTAAAAGTGCTACCGCCAGACCCGGAGATCGGCTGAATGGATTCGAAAACGGTAAAACTCAACTGTTTAACTCTAGGGGAGTTGGAAAATGAGCCTATTTTCAAAATTAGTGGAGTGTTCCTTTAATTATCAAGTCAGGTGTCTGTGCAGGGTCAATGGTCTTTTTTATTTATTTATTATTATTATTAAATAAATACACATTCTATGCCTTAAAATCAGACAACCTGCTGCAAACAGTATTTAATGGCAAGTGTAGCTCAGCTGTAAATGTGTTTTTGAGAAACAGAATTCAGAAACAGTCTTATTGTTTCATGGACCCTATTCTTCATATGCTAAATGACAGCTTAATCTAATATTAAAAACATGTCTAATTCCCAGCTTTTGTTTATCAAATATATTATATCGGGCTTTTTCATACTAGTTGGTTTTTGGAGGTAAATTATCTGACTAGAACAAGTGAAATAGTTTAGAAATAAGTCTTCAATATGGCTTGATTCTCCTTTATTTTCTTGCCATTGATGTACTGAAAAACATGTCTAATTCCCAGCTTTTGTTTATCAAATATATTATATCGGGCTTTTTCATACTAAAAAGTTGGTTTTTGGAGGTAAATTATCTGACTAGAACAAGTGAAATAGTTTAGAAATAAGTCTTCAATATGGCTTGATTCTCCTTTATTTTCTTGCCATTGATGTACTGAGGGAAACATTCTTTTATTGCCCACAGGAAAATAAAATCATGGATTTGATACACAGCATGTTTTCCTCTGGAGCTACAATCAGTTTAACACAACAGTTGCGACCAGAACTAGTCTTTGAGAAAAATCACGTTAGCTCAGCTTTAAGTATCTGCACAACTGGAGGATGTTTGTGTTAGATGTGAGGAACGGTGCACTGCTCCCAATCTGCCATCATTACACCTGCAGTTGTGGACAGAACAAATGCACGCGAGTAAGCAGACAAAATTCACCAATGATGATGCACAGGTCAATTCCACTATGATCTAAAACAAGCGCAGATTTTTAAACGCAAACACAACTATAAGGCGTCTACGCAGGTTTAATCAGATTGGTAAATGTGCTGCCAATGTTTTGAGTTGCAGCAGTGTCCTTTAACCTCGATGTCGTTTTTAACCTGTTTACCCAGTAAGGTTAAGAAGAGTATTATGTCATTTATTTTCAAATTGTTTTTATCAGAAATTAGTGTCTGTGCCAATGTCAGTGTGTGCCTTCAGACTGGTATGTCTTGTTTGTGTTTAAACTATATCAACTAGGAGGTTGAGCTGATGGTTTTATATCCAGTGTTTGGTCTGGTGGTTAGGTTTTACATCAGCTTTAGAGCTCTGAAGGTAATGTGTGTGTGACCGCAACAGAAAATAAATGTTTAAAAAGACATGATGCTTGTTTTTCCCCAATGATCTTAATCATTTTGCAAACAAAACAGACTTTACATGATTGACAAATCATTTTAGTTCATACAATACTGGAATGAAATGAGAACCAGCTAGAATGACAATTCAAGACTGCATTATCCAATGAAAATCCAATCAAATCGAACTTTAATATGTTCTATTGATTTAAAAATGTTCTTTGCTTTACTCAATTGGACCAAGGTTTAAGAGTGTTATTTCCTGTTATTGATTCTGCAGTGTGGCAATCTTGTTAATGGGTTCACCACTAACCACTAAATGCCACCTGCTCCCAATGTCTTATTAATGGCTAATGTTATGAACGTTTAGTTTATAATAATCCTGGTATCAGCTCGCAGGGTTTTCAGAAGTGACTGGCCATACAGTTTTGCAAACTAAACCTAAGGAGTCATTCACACATTTAACACGTTTACCATTAAACACAAGCTAGATGGACGTACTTGAGTGTTGCACTCACATCTTTTGAAGTATCTTGTGCACAACACGGCATTCTCTTCTCACTGGTTTCATACCATCACAACTGGCTTCTCGGTTATCAAGTGTAGCGAAAATTAACACAGATGACCTAAAAATGAATACTATTGCAGTATTAGTGTATGGGAAGAATGGGAAGGTGCAAAAATTACAGAGGAACTTTTTTCATTTCTAATAATTTATTTATCTGAAGTGCATAAGCAAATATGATATGTCAGTGCGTAAAGGTCTTGCAGCAAGTTTAAAAGCTGTGCACTTTGTCGGAAGATGCCCTCCACCATAAATAAAACCCACAAAATCATATTTACATTAAGCAAAAACAACAACAAAAAAGAAAGGATGAGCCCACATGTTGAACACTATATAAGTTCATGGAGAAAGAACAGGGTTTAAAGTCACCTACATTACTAGGCTATTTACAATAGCGCTTTAAAACATGACACCGCTACCAATAAGAACAAGAGCTTTCCCAGAAAAACTTAACCACAGTTTGCCAAAGAGGATTTGATGTTTCGTACTTGTTATTTTACTGTTTTTTTTGTTTTGTTTTCTTATTGTGATAAAGATAGCATATGATGGTGTTGAATTGAGAAGCACAGGATTACAGCAGCAGCAACTAGACAAGGCGGCAAAAAAAATCTTTAGTCATTTTATGACTAAATTAGAAAGCTTACCATTTAATGTTATTCCTTCAAGTGAATCAAAAGGAAAAATTCCTTTATGGTTTGAGTGGTAATGAACTTATGCAAATATTGCACAAGCAAAAACAGACCAATTCTACACTAGCTGAATAGTGTTTGCTGTCCAAGGCCCTGTGACCAGAGGGGCCCACTAAGGTCCTCTATGGTGATACATACTCCTTGGAGCCAGGGTGAGGGGGACCAAACCCTAAAAATTATGTCCCAGGCCCACTGAATAGATGATATAGCAGCAGAAACGTTAACAAGGACAGCACGACTGTTAACACAGATTGGTTGGACTAGGACAAGACTAGGACTTCTGTCCTGGAGAGCCACAGTCCTACAGAGTTTCGCTCCAACTCTAATCAAGCACACCTGATCAAGCTAATCAAGGTCTAAGGGTTACTAGAAAGCTACAGGCAGGTCAGTTTTTAATCAGAGTTGGAGCAAAACTCTGCAGGACTGTGGGTCTCCAGGACCAAAGTTGGCCACGCATGGATTAGGAGTTTTGTCCTCGCCACCTAAAGGCCTAGTCATTTGTTTTTACTAAAAAGCTTTAAATCAGGAAAGCAGATCCAGTAATGCATGTAGCCAATTACAGCCGTTCATGTGTAAACCGCATGTTGTAACAGCAATAAAGACTTTCTTTGATCAAATCCAAGTCCATTTAAAGTGAATGAAGTAAATGAAAACTAACCAGCAATACACAGACATAGGCTACAATTGACTCAGCTTTTGAGCCCAGAAGACAAGTTACAGACCGTTCATGAATTTACACATTAGCTTTGGGAATTAAGGAATACTGTATGCATTGACAAAAGAGAGTTTTTAATGATGTAGTTTTACACTTTGAGAGATGTGTTGAGAGGCGAACGGAATAATGAATGTAAAGGGAGTAATTTGGGAGATAAATTCATTAGTACACGTAAAATCAACTTTCAATGACAACAATATATGCCAAAGCACACAGATGTGAGACATACTGAAAGTTTGCTTGCATGATAATAAAATTACACATTCCAATACTTAAATCAAACCAAAAACTAACAGGCTGACACATTCACACATACATAACCATTCACCCTGGACCAACTGATGGTGGATAAAAAAGTATCCAAATTGGTTTGAGAAAAATCGCCACCATTTTAGAACTCATAAAGGATCAAAACAAATTAATTGTGAGATTATATAATGACAATTATTGGAAACATATATTATGAAACATACATATGCAATATAAATATACTTCCCTCAAAAAAAGAAAAAAAGTCACATTGGCTTTGTGACAAATTTAAATTAGACAAAGAATGGTCCCCAGTAGAATAACTTCAAGAGTATCTGTCCTATAATGGTTCCCCCTCAATTCAACATTAAACATTCTAAAAATAACAAAACATGAACATTAAAGAAATGATGCTTTAAAATGAACAACAATTAGCAACAAAAGGTGCTTATCAGAGAGAAAAATGTTGGTTAGGAATGGCATCATGTTCTATGGACTGTTGTTCAGGATATAATCCTACATTTTGTAGTGGATATATAGTGTAAGGCAGAGGGGCTTGAAGCTTAAAACACAATGGACAGGGTATATTTCCAACCATGGATGTAACTAAGAGCATACATGTATATAATTCAGTCTCTACCAATACACAAAGTTAAAATAAAAATATGTATTCAAGCTCATCTTGCTTCAAGCTCACACCTCTCCCCATTGAAGCTTGTTATGTAAAAAAATTGACTGCACCTTTTAGATAAGGCAGGTAAAACTTGGTTTGATCATGTCATGGGAACTCATATTCTGTGTATGATGTAATACTGCCAAAAGTCTACAGATTGATGATTCTGTCCACTAAAACAGTAACTAAGGACTAAAGATGTGGGAAAATATTTATTAAAAAAAATTTAAAATGTAAAAAAAAAAAAAAAAAAATTGGTAAACTACTGACACTCTCACAAAATTCCACAATTGTCAGTACATCTTTAGGAACACTTTTGCAAACCTCACAATCACCTGTGGAACACCCACAGGTCAACCAAGTCATACTTGAGAAAATGTCTTTGTTCATGAATCCCAAGCCCCTGATGCCTTTTGTCATCTTTACGGTAATGCCTCTACACAGATCTGCTCCTCTGTAATCTCATCCAGTATCTGAACATCAACAGGACTGCAAATGTCACTGTCGTACACTTCTGTGCCCATCAGTGCCTCCTCCAGACCCTCAACTTTGGTCTTCGGTAAGCCATGCTGTTCAGTTGGTGAGGTACTTTCTACAGACTCTAGGTCTTCGATGCCAGCACGGTAGTGAATCATGAGCAGAGTCAAAGCTTGGAGTCGTTCACCGGACTTGGCCAGAGCTGCTGAGACGAGGGCCTTGCGTCGGGAGTCAATCGTTTCTCGCTCTTCCACACTCAAAGAGTTGTTATGCTCCAGCTCCTGGTCAATCTCCTGCTGCAACTTGTCCAACATCAACTCCAGTTTCTGTGAACGCTCATCTGTTGGGAGGCCACGGTAAAGATCTCGACCAATCTCTTTGACGGCAATGAAGACACTGTCATCCAGTCCACCTTCCTTGCGCACCAGTTTGGAGCCACCGCTACCAGGTGGCTGCTTGGAAGGACTGGCCCCAGTATAGGTCTCTGTGTCACTGCTCTCATTGTCAGATGTGTTAGGTGTCTGTTTCGGAGAAGGCTCCACCGCCCCTGATCCCATTTCTGCAACCTGTTCTGCCAGTCTGGCTTTGGGCACCTGCCTCAGATTGAGGAGTCGAGAGCTAGTGTTGATAATGTGACGTGTAAGGCCAGTAGTTGCCCGATTGATGGTTGACTTGGTCTCAGGATCTGCTCCACGTCGGACTAAGGCAGCTACGCAATTAGGGAACTCTGTTAGACACTTCTCCTGACACTTCTTGTGACAGACATAAGAACAGGTCATGCACTGCGAGGCAGCCTTGGTCCACACCTTCTTCTTGCAATAATCGCAATAAGTGGGATTCTGGAACTGAGTGTCTTGAAAATTGTGCCGCATATCTCCGAACTGCATGCCGCTGTAACTTGGTTCAACCCGGGTTGCAGTGAGTACCTGCTCCCGTTCCTTTTCCCGGTCTTTTAAGTCCTCTCCCTGAAGACTTCCTTCCCACTCACGTTCTACCAGTCCACTGGAGAGATCTGACTCCCCATCTGCAAGGTAAGTGAAGTTGAGTGTAACATCTCCATAGCAGAGTTTCTCGTTGAAACCTTTGTGAGTGCTCAAGCTACGCAAAGCAGTACGGCTGACGCTGGCCCTTGGTTCAGGAGCACATAGACGAAAGGTGCTCTGATATTCAGCAGATGACATAGCTAAGCATTCCAGTGCAATGTGTTCCAACCGCAAGCTGACGTGCCCTAAGCACAAGAGACTACCAAGCTTGAAGGGGTCCTTGCACCAAAGTGCTACATTAAGGAATTTGTGGTGGCTTTCCACCTCAAAGATCACAGAGGCTTTGTTCCAGCGGGCAGCTCTGCTGCGGTACATGGTTTCAGATGATTCCCAGAGACCCTGCTCATCGACACTGTCCCTAGTGTTGGAGGAGCTCTCGGATATCTTGTCTTTGGCTGAATCTTGCTTGTTTGTGGCTGGAATATTTGGGATTTCCTCTGCAGGCTCTGGGTGCTTGCTCACAGGCTTCGGCTCTAGTGACTTAACAGGGATTTTCTCTACTGGTTTGTCACCATTGCCAGCAGTGGGTTGCGTTTTCTCTGGACTTTTTTCCACCACAGGTTCGTTACCTTCAAACAGGCTCTGGGTTTCTGAGGAGGCAGATGTGACTTTTATATGGGGCCTGGGAGGGACAGGAGGGCGTGCAGGTGGTGGAGGAGGGGGCACCGTTGGTCTCTGTGGTGGTTCAGAAGGTTCAGCAGCCTTGAGAGTTGGCGCCTTTGGTGATTCTTTGGGCTGGGGTTTGAGTGGGGACTGAAGGTTCAGTCTGCGGTTGAGAATTGGTGAGATGGAACCAAGGGGCTTGGCCAAGTTGGCCACAGTTTTTTTGGGACTTTGGTTTACAGAGAGCAGGAAATCCTCCTTAGTGTCAACAGTGACTGGAGCTGTAGTTGATTTGGACTCAACGATTAGCTCCTCAAACTCAGAGTCATTGTCTCTGTTATCAGATATGTCCATGGTGGTTATTGGGGCTGGGTCCTCCTCGTAGCCCCCAGGCTGATGAAGATAACTGGGCTCCTCCATTGGGCCTAGGGTTTCTTGGAGTGTCCCCAAGCCCACAGTAGGCACCTGGTGCCGGACTGGCCTCTCATATAAGACTATCACTCTTTCTCCAGCTTGTTTTAGCAGCTTCGGCACTTGGACAGAGGACGTCACTTTGACTCCTATGCAAATAGACATGAAGAATGATTGATGCTTTGCAAATCTATTATAAAATCATACAAAATTGTCCATCAAATTAACTATCCACAAAGTCAAACATTCCATTTGAATAGTAAAAAGTAAATGGAAGTCTAACCTCCAATAGCAATGAGGCGATCTCCTCTCTGTAAGTCTGCCAGGGAAGCTGGGGAGTTTGGGGTGACAGTCTCTATGCTCACATGCACCGTGTCACCATCACTGGCTGGGACATGCCTGAACGTCATTCCCACGCTTCCAGATGGTCCTTTGATCACCTCAGTCTGCAACAGACAAAGAGAAACAATATCAGTTTTGCTAATAATCTTAATGAAAAGGTTGTGTAATTGAAGAAACTTGGGACTGACAATTATAATTAGATTCCAAGTAGATTTGTAAATTGTAATCTTTTCTTTATTGCATGTGTTGTTCTGGCATACATTACTTTAAGTCATAAGACCACCAAGTGGGACTGGATTGGAAAGAAGTTGTTAGGGGAAGCTTTTGTTACTAGTTGAGAGGAACACTAGCAGTTAAGCCAAAAGACAGTGTTTCTTAAAGTTTATCTTTTGACAGCAACAGCGGTTTATAATTAGGGCGGACAACCTACATTATGATGTGAACAAGACAGCCTTCACTTTCTATAGAAAGCTCTCTCTTCCCATCACATCTAACCATTTTCATGGTGATAAAACAATGCTCTCTAAAACGAAGGAAGGGAGGTCTGCAATTACTGCTAATTTCACTGCAAACGTGCCACAAAGTAGCAGCTGCTGTTTCAGGGCTTGCTGCATCACAAAGCCTACATCAAAAAATTCACCTGCAGGTCCACCTGCACCTCGGGGTGACACCATACAACAATAGGTACATATAAGGAGCAAGTTAGTGTACCAAAGTGAGGAAAAATTCCACTAGATCCACCAAGAGACAAGAATGATAATCTGGACTGTATAATAGCAGCACAAATACCAGTGATTGTTTTTCATTGATCTTTCCATGATACGTCCTCTGTGTCTCCCTTGTTCTCTCTCTGTCATCTGTGCTGGGGGTGGGCAAAAAAGACAGGATGCAGATCTAAGCTGCTGAGATGGATGACTGTAATTTTGCTTCTGTCATTTGTTATAACCCTTGAGAAGGGCACTGATTGAGTTAAACATGGGATGAAAAAACAGACAATCTACTCAAGTTGGCAAGCAGAAGACTGACATGCCCAGTTTTGACCAATGACTGTCTATAGAAACATTCAAGAACCTTCTGAAAGTTCTTAGAAGGCAACTTACAAAAAACACCCAAATTCAAATGTATAAAACTATAATGTTTAGTTTCAACTATAATATCTATCTATCTATCTTTCCATGGCAACTATAAACAGATTATAGTTAAACTAGCAAACTCTATTACTATATTATGTATGTGTATATAGTCTGAATATTATATTATTAATACATCTAACGATTTAACATTGATATCTTATAGTGCTATTGCAATTGTGCCACTGATCAAACATAAAAATAATGTTTTATTTGAATATTTACTGTTTAAAATGGTCAAGTGAACATCACAAAAAATGGTTAAAACTGATTCATCAAATTATTTCAAAGCATGCTTTTTCATAATAAATTGCTTTGCCACTGAACGAAGGCATTTGTGGTAGCGTTAGGAGTAAGAAATGAGACAAGGGGAGAACACTTGTGCCAATACTATTTGCATACATGTCAGCTAACTGAGATGCTGAAGATAAGTTTGTTTATAACAGACAAAATAAATACACAGGAACATGAATCTTAATGACTGAAGGGCTGCTGTTAAACCCTCCACAGAGATGATTCATTCTGAACATTTCCTCCCTCAGGACACAACCTGATCCCACCCTTTACACGTGTCAGAGAGGGTTCATGGGAGAAAAACAAAAGCTCCAGGCTTTTTTGAGGACACTGTTGGTCTTTTACCAGCATGTTTGGGATAATTCATTGCAACCTGTACAAGATAGAGAATGAAAATGAAAGCAAAGTGTATGTAAGGAATCTTTTTATTCACCACCGGTGTAATCCAGAATAAAAGTGATATTCTAGATTTAATGAGTTAAATTACTGAAACAAATACGACAAACACAGAAAACAAGACACCATTGTTTGCACGGTGGACAAAGGGCTGTTATCTAGAGATGGCTTTCATCTGATATTAACCATAACAAACACTAAAAATGACTTCCAAACATCCAGATCAAAGTCTTCTGCTACAGGAACATGTTGTACCTCAACATCAGAACTGGTTGGACCTACGTTATATGATGCCTTGAGTTTAAGACTGAATGAGCTACATTTGGTCAAGTTATCTGCATAAAAGAATATGACCACAGACGTAATTGCAATAAAGTCCACAACTAAATTGCAATTACAGTAGAAAACAACAGGATTTGACTTAAACCAAAAATAAATAAAACAGCAACTAGCAGAGGGTGAAAGACACACCTGCTCTTAACGTGCACCTTTGTTTTCCCACTTTTAGAACGGCAAAATGACAAGGTTTAAAGACAGAGAGAGAGAAAGAAAGATTTGTCAGACACTGGAACCAAACGGCGACATTGAGCGGCAATTACAGGCGATTTCTGTAGCTGAGCGGTGGCTAAGGGGTAATTACACAACCATGGAAAGGCACAGCAGGAGGAACACTCACACACTCACTGTGTGCACTACTGTGTGTCTGCGTGTGTTGAGTGCAGGTAAACGGACTGCTGCCGCTCCGACTGGTACGTGAGGACGCTGTTCATGAGTCAATTTGCTGTTTGTCTCACCTCATCACCACAAGGTTCACAAATACACCCTCACATTGAGTATCAGGGAAATATAAAACAGCTTTTCAACAACAAACAAACACAGGGGGCCTGTGGGACATTTTCAGGTCAGTTCCACTGATTACAGCATAAATGTCAGAATCAACACACAATACTCAGTACACATTCAATAGAACCACGAGGAAAAACAGGCCTGCAGCTGATAAAATGAAATGTCATTATTTATTCACTCACATGTCATGCCAATCACATATGACTTCCTTCTGTGAAATATAAATGATGAATAATGTTCTGGTTCCCACAATGTGGAATTGGGTGTGCAAGCTCTAAAAAGGGCACAAAAAGAAAAAGAAAAGAACTCCACACAACTCGTGCACACAATTACATGCCTTCTGAAGGCCTACATGCATTTTGTTCAGATTTGTAGTTGCCCTGCCAATAAAGAGTTGCAATTTTAAGCAACTGTAGCTAGACATTTTGGTAGAATATATAACATAATTAACACCTTTATTCAGCAAAGATGTATTAAAATCTATCAAAAGTGACAGTAAAGTTCAAAAAATTCAAATGATCAATGTTCTCACAAAAAATATTAAGCAGCACAACTGTTTTCAACATTCATTGTGCAGCAAATCAGCATATTAGAATGATTTTTGAAGGATCATGTGACACTAAAGACTAGAGTAATGGTTGTTGGAAATTCAGCTTTGCCATTAAAGGAATTTTTAAAAGATATTAAAATACAGAATTTACTTTATATTTTACAATATTTATGTTTTACTGTATTTTTGAGCATAAGAGACTTATTTTAAAAACGTTCATGTTCTATCATAACATGCAGTGGGTACAGAAAAGAATCACCCCCCTTTACAATAATCACATTTTGAAATGAAATGAAGACAGACACAGTTTTTGTTTTATCCAGCTGTATTTACTCAGTGCAACTTATACATCCAAGTGAAAGATATAACACCAACATGTCAGAAAAAATAAAATAATAATAATAATAATAATAATAATAATAATAAACAGAATCAACCAGAATGCTGTTATTAGGATGGTGAGCTGTATTGGATTTCCGCCACACATATTGTTTGATGTTGAGGACAAATAATTCAATTTTAGTCTCATCTGCTTCAGAATCTTCAAGGTGTGTTTTGGCAAAGCTCAGTAATGACTGCATGTGGCCTTTCTGGAGGAGTAGCTTTTTTCTTGCAACCCTCCCATACAAGCCACATTTGTGGAGAATTTGTGATATTGTTGTCACATGCACACAATGATCACTCTTTGTCAAAAAATCCTGCAACTGCTTCAGTTTTCTCCTGCTCTTTCATCCAGTTTGGAGTGACGTCCTGATCCAGGGAGGGTCTGTGTTGTACCAAATACCTTCCACTTCTTAATAATAGACTTCACTGTGCTTCTAGGCATTGATAAAGCCTTTGACATTTTCTGTATCCATCTCCTGACTTGTGCCTGTCCACAACTCTATCCTGGAGATCTTTTGACAGTGCCTTCCATAGTTGACTCTTTTCTTCAGTTGCACTCAAGGACTGAAATGCTCCAGAAAAGCTATTTTCATGCTGTAATCAAAATGACCACAGCTTATCACAATTTAAAGTCAAATGGTTTTGTGTGCCACTGAGAAGGTGATTAGCTAATTAAGATACCATGTCATTTTTAGGAGGGGGTGATCCTTTTTCCAACTGTGATTCTGGTTTTCTATTTATAAATTTTTTTCTGACATGTTGGTGTTATATCTAACACTTGGATGTTATAAGTTACACTGAGTAAATACAGCTGGATAAAACAAAAACTGTGTCTGTCTTCATTTCACGCTGCAATGCAACAAAATGTGATTATTTTAAAGGGGTGATTCTTTTCTGTACCCTCTTTACAATCAAATACTGAAGTTAAATAAAAATGTAAAAGGTCAATAAACAAACACGTCAAATATTTGTTTTCCATGGAAGATAGTATGTCAAATGAGGTTGGAATAACGTGAAGGTGAGTAAATATTGACAAAGTCATCTTAAAAGCTTTACTCTGAATTTAAAAAAAAGGTCACTTTATTTTAAGGTCCAATTCTCGCTATTAATTAAATATTAACTATGACTTTTGCCTCAATAAACTCCTAATTACTGCTTATTAATAGTTAGTAAAGTAGTTGTTAAGTTTAGGTATTGGGTAGGATTAGGGATGTAGAATATGTGCTTTATAAGACCTAATAAATAGCCAATATGCTACTTACATGAATGCTAATTAGCAACAAGTTAATAGTGAGAATTGGTCCCTATACTAAAAAGTGTTACCAAAAAAATCTTGATAACGTTACATTACTAAAGCATCTCTGACGTGGAGGGAGAGGCAAACACATGACAAAACACTGGAAATGTAATGTGGTTTGACATGTTTCATGAGTGACGCAAACAGTGAGGATAGAGGCAGCAGCCTTCAGCAACTTCAGATGCATGAAGAATCACAGGGAAGCAT